TAACTGCGCAGGTCATGGTCTTTTAGCAATTTATTTTCAATACCTTATCAAATAACTTGCACTATATATATATCAATGAAATTACCATCAAAACATTGCTTATATTTAAAATTTTAATATTATGTATGTTTTAATTTCTTAATTCAAAAGAAAATATAAATAAAATGTAGCCAAATACTGATTTGTATGTGTTGCATAGCACTTCCTCATGTCTTGTTGCTCGGTTTATATTTTTTTATGCCTACTATATACATCTACAGGTGGTTAGCAAATTAGAAACATGAATTTTAGATACTGACAAACTAGAATATAAATTTAGAATCTCCCACCACTTTGATTTGCTTAGATATCAATGTATCTAGCTAATCAGCTAGAGTGATGCCTCCTCCTACTCCATTCTTTCCAAAGCTCTTGTTTTCTTAAGGGTCTGTCTATAACCAAAAGAAAGGACAAGCTGTGCTTTATGTGATTCTGACCAGTTGTTTTTAAAAAGCTTGGAAGAGAAAATAATAATTTTGCCAAGATTGGTTAAAGGTAACGACGAAGTTGTTGCTCTGAACAGAAATAAAAAATGTTTAATACATATATACATCTATAACCCCAAGCAAGTTACAGATGTTTTGGGTGTACTAGTAGAGTAGTGTAATATGTTTTTGTCTTTCTAAAATTTATATTTGAATCCTACAAAAATTACATTCCTTCACCCTTCACTCGAAAAAATAAACAAGGCTTAGCATTAAAGGCACATGAGGGCAAAATATTTTTCTATCACCATAATTTCTCATAACTACTAGAAATCATTATTTTTCTATGTAATTTTCGTTTATTGTTCATGTTTTAAGAAATATAAATAAAAATTAAGCATTTATGAGTAAATATATATATGTAATGTATGGTAGCCGAAATATCAGTGTAGTTTGCAAAATATTGGTAATACAGTTAGATTTTACTTTGTATTTGATTCTGTATATATGTGTGTGTGTGTCTATATATATATTATAAATGATTATTACATACTTCAGGGTAACAACTCAAGTTGTTTCACAACTGTAAGGGAACTTCTAAGCTACACTTTAGCTGCAAAAGTAAGAATGTTTTCCAAAGAAGACTAGACTTAAAAGTGTGATAAGTAGTACTGAAACTAAAGTTTTTATTGGTTGATGAATAAGTGCCGAAAAGGGAAATAGGATTTTATAGGCATGTGCTCACATAACATCTTTGTACACCTATGCTGCTAAATTCCAAACACCCCAAAAGGATTACTAATATTCAAATAATTGCAATGTTTATTGTATCAGCACCAAACCACATAATAAATGTTTTGACAGGTTCAAAGTGCAGTGTTGTTACTCTCAAAAAGTCTTATTGTGATCACTGTAGGATACATATATAAGCCAATAAATTACACATCCTGTTGTCGGCATAAACGTTTTCACTGATTCTAAGTGCACTGTGATTACTCAAATTTCCAAGAAAACATTTTAGCATATATAACCCGATACATTACACATTCTGTACTTGGAGTGGGGGTCGAGTCGACAATATTTTCATGCGTGCTTTGTTGCTTTCAGAAGTATCATATTATGGTGGTGTCACATAAACAGTTTACTGTAACAAGCGACAATTTATTGGTTTATTTTCAGCGGGGTTCTACTTTAGTTGTTGATTGTAAAATAAACACAGAAAATAAATGTGAAGTGTTTAGCAGCTCAAACTTGTAAGAGAAGTACCTTGTGACCAATAATAACCATGAAAAGGCACAGCTTCTTCTTTTATTTCTAATTTTACAACTTGTCTTTTCATTATACTTTTGGGATTTGTCTACAGGCTGAAGACTTGAGTATATCATTAAATATCTGATAAAATATAGTTTTACTGAAAACAAATGTTTGAAATATATTTAAGAAGTTTTAAAATGTTACACAAAAGAAATTTGAGATTTTGGGGATGAAGAATAGTATTTTTAATCATAATGTGAAAATTGCTTCCACTCGGACTAGTAACAAAACAGACTTGATATGTTCACAAACAAATCTTTAATAAAAATATTTCACTAAAATATTTGATTTTTTGTGCACAAAAGACTTGTAATGTTTACTAAAGGTATACCAAATTTTGTGAAGATGGACATACTAAATTAAAGTTATAGTATAAAATCTTAACATGTGCAAACGTGTATACGATCTCGTATATATTATACTGAGTCCATTGTAAAAGGGTTAATTGCACTTACTGATCATTTGTGACTCCAGTATGTGTGTCACCTGTGCATTTCCATAATTATATCCAATATTGTATATTTCAAAGAAAATTGGACAATACTCCTAATTTGTGTTATTGAATCCTATGGATATGGATGGGAGTAAAAGTGAACATCTCATGACCATTTACAAAACTAACTCCAAAATTTAATTTAAAAACTTTATTATCAATGTGTGTCAGTAAGCTTGGTATCAATATTTAGTTTATAATTCAAGTTTTTATATTATGTAGATTATAATTTCTTAACTTTTAAAGGAAATATTTAACTAAATTGTCAAGTTACAACTCTCAGAGTCACGACTTGGTAGCACTGTGATTTCTCTCTCTCATAGATTTTTTCTCTTCCACAACCAAGAGCCTCAAGTTGTTCAACCAGTTATAAATATTGACAAGTTACAATATCAAATTTCAATGTCTTTTTTCTTTACTTAAATATTATTATACATGTTCAACCCACATTGATATGCCTCTCCCATATCTTCTGTCTTTTAAGAAATATTTATAATTCTTTGTGACATTGCTTTTGGTCATGTGTATAATGAATAGAAAGAGCAAATTGTACACTACATAAAACAAATGATCATCTGTTTTGTATGAGCAGTAAAAATTGATCACTTGCTGGCGGAACTCAATGTGTTTGGACCAAAGATGTAGCTCCAAGAAGGAATGAATTTTTTTTAGCCTATTTATATGTTAGTTAGAAAGCCAGATAAATGACAGTAATTTTCATACATTGTAATTTAATGAGTGATATGCTTTTGGTTGTTTAACATTTTTATTTGAAACTTATTTTTGTATTTTTGGACAACAAACATACAGAAAAATATTATTACAAAAGCAGGCACTCAACTGCAAACCGACCTAGAGCTCAGTTCTAAATTTTTTGTTTTCTTATCTATGTTTTTTACTTATTGTTATATGTTTTCAATAAAAGTAACTAAAATCTAAGAATATAAAACCTTTTAGGATAGGTAAGAAAACTTAAGTGAACAATAATAAATAGAAAATTTTTTCTTCACTCCTTATCACATACACAATTTAAATGTGCACAATATAATCTAATCCATTTGTTTACTCTGCTGTCATGCCTGATGGTTTATTGCTTATTATGATAGATAAATGTGGTTCAAAGAACAATGATTTAATAAAATTAAATGAAAGCAATTATGAAAAATTACAAGGCATAAAGCTCTTGAGATAAATAATTGTAGTTATCTGCAGACATTCTTGTAAAAAAAATATTTTATTTCATGTTTTTCAACTTTTACTACTATGATGTTGTTACAAGTGATATGATAGTTGAGAAAATAAGAGATAAAGGATATATGAAAACTGTAAGATGAAGTATTTTTATTCTTAGCGTGAAAATCACTTTTCAGTCAGAGTGAGTCATCAGAGGCTTCATAAATTCGGACAGATCTTTAGTACAAATACTTGGTTATAAAATCTCATTTTTTGTGTACAACAGACTTATAATATTCTTCTAAACGTTGTGAAGATACACTAAGTACATTCAGAGTAGCTATAGTATGTATAATTTTATGGTTACATGGTGGTAACAAGGTCAGTCATTTTGACCCAGTCCATGTGCATGAGATTAAAATATTTGGTAATCTACTTTTTCGTTTACTTCCACTGAGAGAGATGCTAGTAAAATATATGTATAATGAATATAAGGGTGAAGAAATATATATATATATATATATAAAACATTAGTTTTGAATGCATCACAACAAAATTAAACTATTTAAAAATTTCTCTTTTTGTATTTTTTGTGCAGTTTCAACAGTGACACCTTCATTGAGTATATACGAACTTCAGACATGGATAACATCTTGTAGGAAGGTAGGTTTTACTTTGTCATCTGATAACTACAATTTATCTTTTAGTAGAAGCAGTTGATAATCAGGTGTTTGTTATAATGAACCTTGAAGCATCCTGAAAATGTAAATTTTGTAGTTAAGCCTTTCTGGACTGGAGGGGTGTTACTGATATACCAATATTCCATTTCTCACAGCAGTAATACTTAACCAAATAATATGAAACACCTTGGTACATAGACTTAGTAAATAGTATCTTATTTTTGCTTTCGGTTGAGAACAATTTCTAAAATTATGAGATACTTTAGAAAAAAACATAAAAATACTTCCTGTAATCTTATAATTTAAATTTTTTGTTATGCTTGATCACAAAGATCCATTTCATATAGTTATTTCTGCTTTAAAACAAATTTGTGTGAGATGCATTTGAAAAAAAAAATCAAAGTACTTCCTATCATTTGAGAATTTTATTTAATATCTTTTATCAGGAAGTTCCATTCTACATATTCAGTCAGTTTCAACTTGATTGATATTCATTACCATATTTCTTTTTATGTTTTATTTTGCCAGTTATAATACTCACTACTTTAAACTGTAAGTCCACAATAACAAAAACTGATTAAGATGTCTTACCATTACCTCTGTCAGATTAGGTATCAGTAATCCTTGTTAACAGTATTCATGGATGAGGTCAGTTCATATATATAATAAACATAGTTTATTTCTAGTAAATAATAATTAATTTTATACGTGTGGATTGTTTGAATATGATAAACAGTAATATTTAATCTTCTTACCATAATGGATGTAGCATTTATATATGTATCTATCTACATGTGACTGAAATAATAAATACATTGTGACACTATCTTTGAATGGCACCACAAACAGAAATCCATAAAAAAAATTACACCTTAGGTATTACTAATAATTCAGACAATTAGTAAAATTAAAGTAACAATATAGTGTCAAC